CACACACACACACACACACACACACACACACACACACACACACACACACACACACACACACACACACACACACAGTACCTGTCGGTGACTAAACCATTCAGTGATATAGATGTAAACAGTCTTATAGCTGGGTTGCCTTCTTCATCTGTTTATCTATGTTTAATATCCACCAATAAATAGACCAGCAGTATTTATATTTCTGCATTTCAGCATTTATATTGATTATAAGTGTGTCAAAGCACTTAGTTCGCAGGTGAAAATGTCACGTTTTCAGTCTTAAAATTACCACAACAAAATGACATCCTGGTTAAAAACTTTGTTTTGTGTGCTGCAGCTGCTCTCTGTGACCTAGAAGATTTTCAGAAAACACATGTACACATGTTGCCTGTGCATGTAGCCCAGGCAGCAGGTCTATTCAGATTTCTTTGATAGGTGAGATGATATTTTAGTGACCTTGGGTCCAAACATCACACGTATTGAACGCACTTACTAGGTACAGGAATAGCTGATAAACACTTTGATATACGCAATACACACTTGCATGTTTACCAGCACTTACCCAGCATTTACTTGTCTGTTGTCGGCTTTATTTTCAGACACTTTTTCTTTCAGATTTTTTTTGAAAGCATCTGAACTGACAGCCAAGTTGGAAATTGTGGATATGACACTAAACACCTAATAAGATCCACAGAAATAAATAAATGTTGTGGATCAGTATCAGTTCACAGGTTACTTGTCTTAGCTGGTGAGGTTTATGAATGAGAATGGTGGCCAGTAATTTGGTTCTTCAGAGAAGGAGTGTTCAGTGAGATTTGCAGTCTGAGTAGCTATTTTCTCCAAAGAAACAAGTGCAGGTACAGATGCTTCCTTTCTGTAACAATACAAGAGTTGGCCCGTGTTGTACAAAATGTTTTTCGTTGTTCACAAAAAATGAATGAGACACAGAAACACATTGCAGGCCACCTCCACATATAGCCTAGACCAGCTGTCCTCACTGACCCATTGACTTCATTCTCCTCGTCCTCCTTCACCGGCCTCTCTTTTTATCATTTACAGTTGTGTCTGCAGTGCACAGGTTTCAGCAAATCCTCCAGCGCTGCTCACACCGGACAAGTCATTTGCATTCATTTTCATATTTCACGCGTCAACTCTGACAGCATTCGTCTTAGATCTCCTCAGCTGAAAGGATGAGAAACAAGGGAAAAAAAATCAATGTCTCCCTCAACTCTCTATCTCTAATGTGGCTATATATAGACAATAGTTATCTTTTTTTCATTCCTCTCATCCTTCATCAGCTTCTGGAGAAGATGTACTCCTCCCTGAAGCGCTGTTTTCTTTCTATGTGCCTCCTTGTTTTATCTGCTTGTAGCGCCGTGGGAGTTTGGTATCATGAAGAGTGCAGATCGAAGTTTGGAGTCAGAAGATCTGATGTAATAACATATCAATGACTCGGCTGCAGATTTGTAAAATCTCTGCCCCAATTCATTGAAGTAACTTTCTTGCAAACTTCACAAAGGAGATTTTTGGCACGATAAGGACAGTTTGTCCATGAACAAACGGTCCACACAACAATACACACCCACATGGTTGCACACAAACACCCTCTCATTCTCTCTCACACAATCACACATACCCACACAAATTATGAACCAACTGCTAATCACAGCATAATGGCTGTAATGCACCAGTCTGTCAACTCATAGACGAATGGAACCAACAGCGCTCTAACAAATTACATAAAACAAAGAAAATCTACTTACTGCAGTCACATATAAGATTATATAGGTGACATGAAACAGCAGGTCTTCCTTGTCATCATGTAAATCTGTATTATATTATAAAAATATTAAAAAACAAACCAAGAGCTACATCTCAGACTCTGCAGACCTCATTTAGCAAATATTAATGCAAAAGTTGATGACTGTAAAATTAGAAAAAGACTGAACAAGTGTCACTTGTTTTTGAGGGGTTTGCATGAGAGAATCTCTTCTCTCCAAAAAGGTTTGTAAAGTTGCCTCTGAATAAACCACAAAACATCTGGAACAGTTCCGTTTGGACAGGTTTGTCCATAATCCACAGTGACAGTCAAACATAGCATAACAGGACAAACACCTCATACCAACTGTCAAGCATGGCGGTGGAGGGTGATTATTTGGGCTTGGTTTGCCGCCACAGGACTTGGCCACCTTGCAGTTGTTGAGTCTACCATGAACTCTGTTGTATACAAAATACTATCCAACAGCAACAAATCTAATCAAACGAGCAAGTGAAACAAATCTAAACAGAATGCATGACAAAGAAAAGAATCAAGTTGGTCCAACAGCCTAAGTTTAGACCTCAACCTGTATCAAATGCTGTGATAGGACCTTAACAGAGCTGTGCATACACAAATGGCTGCAAACTTAAATGGACAGAATAAACTATGCAAAGAAGAGCAGGCCAAAATTCCTCCATAGCGTTGTAAGATAACATCATAAAGAAAACCATTACTTCATGTTACTGATGCTAAAGGAGATTCTACAAACTAGTAAATTATAGAGCATGCTAAGTTTTCATAGAGTCCTGTGAAAACCTTATTTTTCACATGATTGTATAATACGGTGGCTGGTTTGTGAAGGACACGTTTCAGGTATTTGGACAAGAAGGTGGAGTGTCATGCTATAAGCTAAATCCAGCTTCTTGGTTAATACAGTGAGTTCGTATACTGTATGGCTGCGAAGCACTGACACAGTGCTCAGTAAGATACAAATAACATATTGTAAAGTTACAGTTTAAAGCTGAGTGTGTTACAAACTCTATTTTGAAGCCAGATCCAAGGGGCTACTCAGGTCTAGCATGTTAGCGAGCAAGCGCTTGCTAATTAGCACTAAACCAAAGCTAGTTGTTTGTCATGAAGCAAAGTCCTGGATAAATTTCTTTATCAGAAACATAGAAGGGGAAAAAATGAAACTCCTTGATCATACTGAAATCCTAAAATAAATATATGTAGCAAATTAATTCTAATTTTTGGTTTTGTTCTTCTAAATAGATCACTGATGTCCTGGAGAATTGTTCAACTGCTCCAGAAGTGATCTATTGTCTTTAACCAATAACTCTATTTAATTTAGAGCCCCATGGTCCATCCTTTACCATCGGCAAGGCCATCTGGCTGCTGTGGGGTCTGGTCTTCAACAACTCTGTGCCAGTGCAGAATCCCAAAGGCACCACCAGTAAGATCATGGTATCAGTGTGGGCCTTCTTTGCTGTCATCTTTCTGGCCTCCTACACTGCCAACCTGGCTGCTTTCATGATCCAGGAGGAGTACGTGGACCAGGTATCCGGTCTGTCAGACAAAAAGGTAAGGTGAAAGGTTTCTGTTTGATGCTGTGCCACTCGCTCGTCCTTACCCAATGTTGTGTGAAGACTTATCAGAGTTTTACACGCCTCTCCGTTCTCTGTTTTTTATGTTCAGTTCCAGAGTCCCAACGACTTCTCGCCTCCGTTTCGTTTTGGCACTGTCCCCAATGGAAGTACAGAGAGAAACATTAGAAACAACTACCCAGAAATGCACTCCTACATGACAAAGTTTCATCAGAGAAATGTCAATGAAGCTCTGCAGAGTCTCAAGTCTGGGTAAGCATGTTCGCAACAAAGTGGTTAAAAAAGAAAAATGTCAAAATGAAAATGACCACATTTATGTTTAAACTTCACAAATCTATTACTGGCAAATTGTGTTAGAATATATTACTTGAGATACTGAAAAGAGTATTTCGGTCAGTGTCCCCCCTAACTGGTCGTACAGATGACTGCCCTTCCCTGAGCCTGGTTCTGCTGGAAGTTCTTCCTATTAAAAGGGAGTTTTTCTTCCCACTGTTGCAAAGTTCTAGGGCTTAGTGGGCTGTCCGATTGTTGGGGGTTTTCTCTGTCTTATTGTATGGTCTACCTTACAATATAAAGCACTTTGAGGCAACTGTTTTTGTGATTTGGCATTATATGAAAAAACTGAATTAAACTGAGTGTGCATTTCTTTGTTTTGGGCACAGTATTATTTATTATGGTGCAATCTGCTTTTTGTTCATTTCAATTGATTGAATGCTTTTTGGAATGGTCCTGATGATGTTTTAAAGTACCCAGAAGCACTATTGGACTCACTACGATGATCAGAATGTCTGTTTCAATAGAAGCGTAAAATTCAGGCTACGATGACTTAAAAAGTAATCACTGCGAAATTCTCTTGTTTGTCTTGCTTCATGTAAATATATCTCAGCTGAATACGTCCAATAATACTATCACTCCCCCTCTTCAGTTTCATCAAGTGCGCCTTTTCGCCAGTTTGTGTGCCAGCCCCAGCCTTTGGCAAACCAAGTGGAAGTCTATTAGACTTATCAGCAGCTTAGAGCTATTTAGCAGGTTAATTGGAATGTTGTAGCTGTGATGTCTGACTCCCAAGTGCTAATTAATTGTAACCTATCGCTCCTCCTCTTTGTCCCTCGCTCTCTTCTTCTCCAGCAAACTAGACGCTTTCATTTACGATGCGGCCGTGCTGAACTACATGGCTGGCAGGGACGAGGGCTGCAAGCTGGTGACCATTGGCAGCGGCTACATCTTTGCCACCACGGGGTACGGCATCGCCATCCAGAAGGAGTCGCTCTGGAAGAGACATGTGGACCTGGCCATCCTGCAGCTCTTTGGAGACGGTGAGCGAGCGAGCTGACACTCCACCGTTTAATGATGTCACGCGCGCAGCTGTGCTGATGCGATGAGTTGTATAATTACACATAAACGGATCGGATAGACGCAGAGATAAGACCAGCTTAACACAGACGTTAACAGATCAAAAACTTCTCCGTGACCTTGAGGCAAATATTAAAGGATAGGTGTGCCCAACTTATTCTGTTGACTTATTATTTTGGGATAACATTGTGTTCACCAAACTGTTTAAACTGTGTTATGACAGCAGGACAAGCTGAAAAACAATTATCAGATGAACTAACCCAGGTTACTATCAGGCAAATTTGAAATTCAATGCACCTGAAAAACCTTACGATCCCTTGTTAGACACGAAAACCATTTGTGTGTACGGCTGTGCAGTACTGAGGGCATCTCACATGTAAGGGGTAGCGAAATCCAGGCCTCGAGAGCCGGCGTCCTGCAGGTTTTAGATGTGTCCTTGTTCCAACACAGCTGATTTAAATGGCTAAATTACCTCTTCAACATGTCTTGAAGTTCTCCAGAAGCCTGGTAATGAACTGATCATTTGATTCAGGTGTGTTGACCCAGGGTGAGATCTAAAACCTACAGGACATTGGCTCTCGAGGCCTGGAGTTCCCCACCCCTGTCACATATGAACGAGCAGATAAAATCCCAGACAAGCAGCTGAGAGTTCGGATCTGACAAACGTGGCTGACCTGTGAGTTTATTTGAATGACTGAGTGCCTCATGTGTTTTTGCACCATTTTACTTTTCTAATCTTAGCTAATGACTTCATGTCTACAGTTTTCATACATTATTGCCAGCAGGAAAAAGAACTAAACGTATGAAAATGCGATTTAAGTAAGAGCTATAATGGGGGAAGAAAACTAAAGCTCCATCAATATGAACAGCTTGAGGCTTTGCTGTAGGCTCGTTCTTATGAATATTGTCCAGTGTAGACTTTCTTATTCTTCAGGTTCTGCATTTTTGATTTAAAAAAAAAAAAAAGAAGCTGGACGAGCAATGATTCTCGGTTTATACTTACTGACCACCAATTGGAGATCTCAGACAAAAGCAGGTAAATTCAGCAGCTTTCTAAAGTCCTCTCAGACTCAATTCCTCCCCCGCTTTTTTGTTGGCATGTGAAACAGAGCTCGCTTTAAGTGAGATCATGTGACTGAAGCAGGAAGTTTAGGATGCTCCTCTGACTGAAAAGCCTTTAGATTACTTAGGACAGGGGTCGGCAACCCTGGGCACAGCTGGCACGCGAAGGGTTAACTGATGGCACGACACGCAGTGAGTAAATCTGAGAAGGTGCATTAAAAAAATAAATGGCCGTGCCACCGGTGCACATCGCAAATTAGCTCACATAGAGACATTAGTTGTGCCGCTTCTTAATAACGGTATCTTAGCTAAGAACCCCAACTACCAGATTCAACTTATAATTAGTTAAAAATCACTTAGCCTACCGGTAAGAGGGATGTTGCTAGCTGGCAGTTTTTTCAAGCGATGTTGAAATTTCCACATTCTGCTACTTCAAATGCTTCAGGAGCTGTCTGCTCAGCGCAGCATCAGCACCACGGAAATATACACAAATACAATACTGCACTATGCCAACATCTGCAAACAAATATAGTTCTATAAAGTTGTTCTATACAGTGTGTAACTGTTCATATAGAGCGTTATTAAATGTATTGCTAATGCGATGGTTGATATGGCACATTAACTTCTGAGGAAATGTTAGATGGTACTCATCATCAGAAAGGTGTCCGACCCCTGACTTAGACGTATGTTTAAGGCTGTCTTGTCCAAAAAACTACAAAGTTTCTTCTGGTGAATTTTGCTGAATCCGATCGTGCAAACTGCTGTTTGATTGACTGTTTCCTTGGCAGCCGTGCACCCTTAAACAGAATCTCCACCAACATTTGACAGAGGAGGAGGGTCAGGGTCACTGGCTATACCTTTTTAACACCGTACGTTTGTCACTGGCTAGTTTTAAGGGTCATTTCACAATTTTTTACAAACTGCCTTTTTTCCTCTCTTGATTTTTCTCTCATGAGTTTGGCGGCGGTGAATCCACTGAGGTTAAACTAATAGACTTTCAATCCTCAACAGCATTCTTGACTTGCTGTGCTGTTATACTGAGATTTTTCTTGCCATGTGCTCCTTTCCATCTACCAGGCGTTCTTTTTTTTTTTTGCTTTTGCTTTTGACTATGAACCCAACTGTTGATTTTGGCAAACCAACTAGCTTTGATACGGCTCTAATAATTTCTTATCTTCTTCACTTGCTCGGCTGACTCTTTGCTCTGCATATTGCCAGGGTGCTCCCACTCAAACTAAATGTAACTGAATTAGCTACGAGCCTCATGTGAACTCTTCCACACCCCAAAAAAAAGAAAAGCCAATTTCGTTTTAAAACTGCTACAATTCTGGCACTGTGTGATAGAAGAGCTATATCTCCCACACAGTTCTTTCTGTATCACTAGTGAGGCACAGAGCCTGAAGACTAAGAAATGTGTAACTGTCTATATACTTACAGTCTGGACTGTATTAGCGTGAAATACAGTATTTTCATGAATGTTTGAAATCCCTTCCCTTCACTCATGCAAGAAAAAAAATCTCTCTCAGACTGTAAAATTGTTGATCTCACCCACTCCCATCTGTTCAGGAAAGGATTTTGGAGAGAGCTAGGATAAAAATCATACTTTTTCTTGTGCGTCTGCTTGGCTCTGCGAGTCAAATGTACTGTAAGTCCACTCCCACATATTGTATCTCAAATGCAGAGTGAAAAAGTAAAACGTTAGGAATACAAGTTGAAATTTAGCTCCCACTGTGGGAAGCTGGTGGTTTATGATCATGTTTGCCGTTTATGGGAGACTGTGCAAAGCTCTCCGGAGTTTGTTCTTTAGAGACACACTTTGTCCCAGCTGTAGCTGCAGCATTAATGAGTCTGTGAATGAGCAGGAAATAAAATGCGTTCCAAATGTCCATTTTTGAGCTCTTCGTCACGCACAAATTAAAACGTCACCAACAATGGCTAGTTGTGAAGTTTAACCACTTTAACAGCCTGGTTTTGATATACAGTTAATTCAGTATGGGAAGTGTAATGGAAGTTTTGTGTGTGTCTGTGTGTGTGTAGGTTCAAGTGCGTGTGGTGTAGCAAGTTTATTTGAGCACGGTCCAGAGTGTTGTGAGCATCCTGAGCCAAGGGCCCTCAGGGGCCTGCTATAGTGTGTCCCAGTTAGAGGTGCCAACATAGCTCCTGGTGTATTTCTAAACCGTGTGTGCATTAGTGTGCGGGTTTGTGTGTGTGTGTGTGTTTGCGTGCACATGTAAATATGGGTCAGCCCTCCAAAAATGAGTGCCTGCCTGTGTGTGTGTGTGTGTGTGTGTGTGCAATGGGCTACAAAGTAAAAGCAGTGTAGAGATTCTGATTATTTATGACACAGGTTTATTTTTATCAACCTACATGCGATTCAGGAAGAGTCTTTTGTGTGCTTGTTGCTTATTGATGATCAGTTAGGTTAGTCATAGAATTAACTTAATAACTCGTCGAACTTAGTTGAGAGTAATTTATGTGTCTGCTTGCAAATGTGAATGTGGGTCGGCTCGCTGTAACATCCCCGTGTGCCACTGCAAAAGCATTAATACAGAAACTGAGCGGCCCTGTCTGGCCCCTCTCAGGATTTCAATGTCACTTTACCACGCCTCGCCATCCACTCCCCTCCTGGTGGCCTAGAAAGTGATCAGACTCAAGCGGCGAGCGCAGTGGCCTGATATGCAGGCTGGAAGAGAGTCGGGGTAGTTTGACGCAGGCCCGAGCAAAAAATATATCACAGCTGTCCTGAAAGTTAAACTGCAAAATTTCCCGTTTCACTTTTAAACGGAATCATTCGTTTGCTTCTGATGAACTTTTTGCCCTTGAAATCAGTGAAAGACCTGTTGCATCATTACAGAGATACCGGGCATCGGTGATGTAATAGTTACATCTTGTTCCGTCATAAAATATACTTCTTTAAGATTTTATATGACATTTTGTAACAAGGTTATTAGATTTTAGACAGTGACTAAAATTAAGAATAGGAAAGATGTCTGTATTTTGTTTATCACATAGCAAAGCTCCATAGAAGTTAAAAATGTAGTTTCTGGCTTAGATGAGACGATAGAGCCAACTCAGATATTTAGTCTGCATTTTAATCATTTACAGTATTGGCTCATTACGTGGCATAAAATAGCAACTTAATGTTTTCTGGAGATTAAACAAACAGATTATGCTAAGCTACTAGCTAAGCTACTAGCTAAGCTATTAGCTTATCTTATATCATACAAAAATCAAACAAAGACTGACTTTGACGTGTAACTCTCTGCTCCCACAAAAAAAAGCATGTTTCAAAAAATGTTGTAATGCTGCTTTAAAGTGTAGAAGTCTAGCATTCCCTCAGAGTTACAGCAGATTGGTTATGCTACGGTCACACTAGGGAAAGCAGTTGTTGGGAGACCGCGACATGACCGAAGTTATTAGAACATGTGCAATTAACTGTGATCTCATTGCTTTTTGAAATTTTCTTTTTGCTTTCGAAGATGGGGACCTGGTTTGCAACCACTCGCAGTCAGTTGCCAACTTCTATGTAACTTTGCTGCTTCGAGACATAAATAAGACCTAGTTGGTCTCTTAGTTGCATGCAATCTGTTTATGACAATATGGCAATAAACTGTAATAAATCAGTAAAAATCACAAATCGTTGCCATATACATAGATATAAATTCTGAAATAAAAGTTCAGATTAACTACCTAAGTCTAGCAAGAACCTCGTAACCTCAAATTTTGAGATAGTTGCTGGAGGTTGATGATTTAATTTGATTATGTAGCGGCAACCTTGCTTTTTCTTTTTTTCTTTTTTTATAATACTATAACCAAAATATAGCAACCAGCTGAGTTGAGAAGTTGGAAAGTCCCCCATTGGAAAGAGACCTCTGGTTCCCCAGAGGTTGAGTGTGCAACATCATCAACCAGTAGGAAATAGTTTGCTGCTGCAACATCTTCAATTGCCAAATGCAAAATGCAAATAAATAAATAAAGCATTTCTGTCACCAGGCAACCACCAATTTCTTTTCCTAGTTGTAAGGCGTTTGTTGGCCAATTTTTATTTTAGTGTGACTGAGTCATTAAATAACTAAACCAAACAGTGAAAATCCACTTGAATAGACCTAGACAACTGAAATTCCACTCACTTGATTTTGCAGTCTCATGTCATGGACTTGATCATTAAGCAGAGATAGCTATCATTTTCATCTGAGTCAGGAGCAGGTGACATGAGTCATGAGATTCATGTACAGGCTAGAGGTGGGCTGATCGATCCAAATTTTGATAGTATCAATACCAACACTGGTATCGGTATTAGATCGATACTAATGCAATTGGATCGATACTTTGTTTCTATCCTCATAGTTCAGTATAAATTGTGTTGAATAGCATTTTTTATAATAAAAAAATATACCCCAAACATGCACTATGAAAAATGTCTGAACTTTTTTCTGTTCACTGTTACGTCAATTCTTTTTAGCCTATAGCACATTTAAACAACTGAAGCTGACACAAAGGCCTTTAAAGACAGGCACATTTACATTCCAGCTTGATATTGGATCGATACCAAAATTTGCAGTATCGCTCAGCAGTGCTAAAGGCTCCTAGAGATGTTAATGAATCTTGAGTTGAATGTTTAGAGGGATTTGTAGGGAGGGGTTTGGAGGACTGGAGGAAAGTTGAAGTCAAAAAGCCGTCAGTTACATTAACCTTTATTAACACTCCTTACAAGTCCTGAACAAACACTTAGGCTCAGGTTCCTTTATTGATACCCATAGGTAAATTTGTTTTGCAGTTCAAAGTGCAGGCAACCCTTCTACCAGACATCAAACACCAATACTGGACAATTGTAACATAGACACAATAAGAAAAATAAAAGGGAAAAAAGTGAAAGTGTTCCAGTAAAAATAGTAAAAAAAAAAGGCATATAAGCAAATTTGCTATCGTTTAATAAAGAATATCAACTAAGACAAAGTCATTTCTCTAATGCGTTCTCCTGCATTTGAGGAATACAAACCTCTGTCCAAAGGGAAGAAGCTGAATATCCCAACAAAAGGGGTGGGAGTCATTATTTAAGATGGAGCTGGTCCTTCTCTGCAGCTGTCTGGTATACAGAGACTCTAAGTTGAGCTGTGATGTACCTCGCAGCTTCCCTAACCAGTTCACAATTTGCATCAGTTTGTTTCTGTCCTTCAGAGATAGGTTACCGTACCATGATACCAAGGAAAAGATAAAACAGACTCAGTAAAAGATCTATTAAATAGTGTCTTAGTCTCAGTCTTATCCATGTGAAAGGAGGACAGTTTCTGTATGAGAGTGTGAAACACTGTAACCGTGTCCTGGATTTTAAGCCAGTCAACTACAGTTGTTGTCTCCTCTCACTCTGTATTCTCTGATGTCCATTGAACAACAAAAAGATGAGCAGGTTTTCCCACTAAAATCAGCGCTAAATGAAAACTAATGACAAAGTGGCATACTGACTCCCAGGAGACAGCCCTAACTAGAGATGCCACTGTCAGAATAGCTGCACAAGGGTTCCAGTTACTGTTTATCAGTAGATCTAAGTAGAGGCAGCTGGGTGATGTATCTGTATTTATGCCTTTGTGTGCAGTGCCTCTTTTTTTTACGTTTACATGCTGCGGAGACGCTTGTTGATGCTCAGAGGCCAGGCTGGGCTGTGTGTTGGTGGAGTTGCGCTGACGTGGAGCGACAGCGGCTGAATGTATGATTAATTAACCGACGCCTGTCCTGCCACAGTCAGCTTTGATAGAGAACAGCTCGTGATGAAACAGAAGGTGACCCACAAAAACAAGCACAAGCTCGGGGACTAGCGTCAGATGCATACCAGATACCTATATATGCAATTATTTGGAGAAAACAATGCAAATAAGACTAATGTGATTAACATGTGACTGGTGGCATGTGTGTTTTACTCTTCCTCTGTCTGCTGTGAAGCTGCTGCAGAATTTAAGATCTGTATTTCACTTCTAACCACCCTGACCCCCCTTTTCTCTTCTGCCCGCCATCTTCCGTCTTCTCTTCTTCTGTTGCATCATTTTCTCCATCCCTCATGTCCTCCAATACCCATCTTGTTATTACATCATGTCCCTCTTCTCTACTTTATATAATACTTCCATTCCCTCTTTTTCACACTCCTTTCTTTACTTCAATTCCACATCTCAAACATAAAAACACTTCCCCCACATATCCTCACTGTGCCCTCCTTCTTCTTCTCTTGTCCGTCCACGTACGCCCCTCCTGTCTCACCTCCATCCAATCCCCTCCTTGTTGGCCTGCTCCTCGTCCATCTCTTCTCACCATCTGTTTCTTCCTTCGTCCTGTCACTTTCTCCCTCCCTTCGTCTTCTTCCCAAAACCTCATGCCAATACCTCTGTCCAGGTGAGATGGAGGAGCTTGAGTCCCTCTGGCTGACAGGGATCTGCCACCATGAGAAGAATGAGGTGATGTCCAGCCAGCTGGATGTGGACAACATGGCTGGCGTTTTCTACATGCTAGGTGCTGCCATGGCTCTTTCACTCATTACCTTCATCTGTGAACACTGGTTCTACTGGCAGCTGCGCTTCTGCTTCATGGGCGTCTGCTCCGGCCAGCCCGGCTTCGTCTTCTCAATCAGCAGGGTGAGAAAGGGTGGGGAAAAGTGGGCTATTATAGCAAGAAAAGGCTCTTTGTTAATACTTTGACCCTAGCTATCCAAATAAGATAATAGCTGCATGTTGGAGTACCATCAAATACACAATTTTTCAATTCAGATACTTCAGTATGTGTATTTCATGTTGTACCCTTCATATCATTGCTACATATTTACTTATGTAGTAAACATTGTGAGTTGGGGTGCTGGTTTAGCTCACTGTAATGAGCAGGCAACCATATGCCGCATAGCAAAGGGCTGCGGCCGCATGTCTTCCGCTTTCTTATCAGTCTTCACTGTTTATATCAAAAACAAAGCCATAAAAGGGCCCCAAAAAATATTAAAAATAAATCAAATATTCTGAGTTAGGGCTAGTTACACAGGCCTAGAGACCTGTTGGCAACCTTGACTGGTTGCAAGTGGTAGATGGTAGTTGCTGTAAAATCTATTGCTAAAGCTAAGTCATCTAAAGCAGTGGTCCCTGACCTCTTTTGCGCCACAGACCGGTTTAATGTCAGGCAATATTTTCACAGAACGGCCTTTAAGGTGTCGGAGGATAAATACAACAAAGTAAAATGATATAACCAAGACAAAAACTGTGATATGTTGTAAATATAATAATAAACATGAATTCACTGTGTAATTGTGTAACTTTATTAGCAGCATCCTCCTGAAATGCACCAGCAACATTGAGAGTAACGTCCTCCTCTCTCAGGTAAACCAAGTTAACGATAAAAACCCTGAAAACCATAAATTTCACTCCTGAGACTCAAATCTCGCGGCCCGGTACCAAACGGCTCACAGACCGGTACGGGTCCGTTGCCCGGGGTTTGGGGAATGCTGACCTAAAGCCCCTGGTAACCACTGGTCACTAGGAAAAAATGTGTATTCCCTAAACGACTGGCCAGCAGTTGTGGGATGTTGCTTTCCGTCGCTTGGTAGAATTAGTTACAGTATACAGTGTTGCATCAAAAACCCATTTACAATTGCTTTGGTCACCCATAGTGGAAAGTTTTAAGCCTAATTTTAAAAGCAGAGAGGGTGTCTCTTTCCCAAATCCAAACTC